ACCCTTGTAGTCAGCGAAGTGAAAGAATCTAATTCTAATATCTCTCTTGGTGATAACTCCTCTCTCCAGCTTACTTCGGTCAAGTTAGATGGTACTAATTATCAGGTTTGGTCCTGTTCCTTTCAATTGGCCATTACTGCTCGTGGCATGCCTGGTTACATCAAGGGGATTACTCAAGCTCCCTGGGAGGATGGACCAATCCGAGATAAATGACAAAAGAAGAATGCTCTTGTCATAATAACTTGGCTTATTAACTCTATCCACTCCAGTATTAACAACTCCTTTGTTTTGATGGATACCGCTCATGAGATTTGGACTGCTACTACTTAGATGTACTCCCAACGTGGCAATGATGCTCAGGCTTATGAGTTGCAGAAGAAAATACTAAGGTTTGACCAGAAGGATAGGTCCCTTGCCGAGTACTATGCCGAGTTGAGTAGTTTGTAGCAAGAACTCAACTATTATCAGAACTTCCATGCTGTTTGTTCTTAAGATGCTATTACTACCTTTCAGCTGATGGTGTCCAAGGAGAGGGTCTATGATTTTATTGCTGGTCTTAACATTGAGTATGATCAGATTCGTGTTCAGATTCTTGGCCGAGATCCTTTGCCCACTGTGCATGAGGCATATGCTTATGTTCAGCAAGAAGAGAGCATGTAGTGCTATGGCTCATCAAACTCTCCAAAATCGCTCTGCTCTCGCTATTTCTTCTGCTCCAAAGGATGGCCATGTCTCCAAGTCTGGGAACAAAGGTACTAGTGTTGATCGTGGTCCAATTACCTATGATTATTGTGGGAAAGACCGGCATGATAGGGAACATTGTTGGAAGTTACATGATCATCCTCCTCGAAGCCAGGGTGGAGCCCATAATGGTACTAGTGGTGGACGTGGTGGCGCTATTTGCTCCCATGCCAATCTCTCTAAGTCTTCTCTCAGCAACCCGAGTGATTCTGCTACACTTTCCCATGATGAGTTGCACACTCTGACATTTGATGGCTCGACTTGATTCTTCCTCAGTCCCTGCTTCTGATCCTCTCTCTACTTCCAACTTTGCTTTCACAAGTATTCCTACAAGTGCCTTGAGTGCTTCTTCTTCTCCTTCATTTCCTTGGATCATTGACTCTGGCGCTACTGATCACATGACAAGTTTGTCTCATCTTTTCCACTCTTACTCTCCTTGTTGTGGCAAGGACAAAGTACGAGTTGCTAATGGGTCGTTTGATGATTTTAGAGAATAATCAGATTAGGGAATGATTAGGATATCATCCCCTATTTATATTAATGAAGATTAATAATTACAAAGGAGCTCTAAGGCATAGAATAATTACAAAATAATAACCCAAATGATAATATATTATTCTAACACTCTCCCCTCGAGCTGGTGCGAAGATATTTCTCATGCCCAGCTTGCCTAATGTGTCATGAAATGGCTTACTCCCAACTCCCTTAGTAAAGATATCAACAAGTTATTCACTAGACTGAACAAAAAGAGTACATATTGTGCCACTAGTAAGTTTCTCCTTAATAAAGTGGCGATCAATCTCAACATGCTTTGTCTTGTCATTTTGAACTGGATTGTGAGCGATGTTGATACCAGCCTTATTATCACAATATAGCCGTATGGACCCCGTCTAAACAATACCTAGATCACTCAACAATAACTTGATCTATTAGAACTCACACACCCCTTATGCCATAGCTCTAAACTCAGCTTCTGTACTTGACCTGGCAACAACATTATGTTTCTTACTTCTCCAAGTAACTAGGTTGTCTCCAACAAAGGTGCAATACCCTAAAGTCGATCTCCTATCAGTTACTGATCCAGCCCAGTCAGGATCTGTATAGGCTTCTACAAGAAGATGATCATACTTTGAAAAAATAAAGACCCTTACCAGGAGCAAACTTCAAGTACCTTAAAATTATCATGATAGCCTCTAAGTGAATCTGATGAGGAGCATGCATAAAATGGCTAACAACACTGATAGCAACAGTAATATCAAGACGAGAGTGAGATAGGTAAATGAGCTTACCCACTAATCGTTGATAGCTCCCCCTATCAACAACTGCTCCTCCTTCATCATCTCTCAGTTTCTGATTGGGCTCCAATGGAGTGTCATAGGCGTTGCAGCCAAGCATCCCAGTTTCTTTCAACAGGTCAAGCACATACTTCCTCTGTGAGATAAATATCCCATCCTTGGAGCGAGCAACTTCAATTCCCAGAAAATACTTCAAGCTCCCCAAGTCTTTGATTTCAAAATCCTTGGCTAAATATTTATTCAACAGAGGTATTTCCTCACTATCATCGCCCGTAAGAACTATGTCATCTACATAAACAATGAGTGCTGTAGTCTTACAACGTGAGGAATGTTTCACAAACAAGGTGTGATCTGTCTACCTGACTCTGTTTGAAGTCATATTTAAGCACAACATGAGTGAATCTCTCAAACCAAGCCCTTGGAGACTGTTTGAGACCATATAATGACTTCCGAAGCCTGCATACTTTGCCTTCTGTCTGATGATCCTCAAAACTAGGAGGAATGTCCATATATACCTCTTCGTCGAGGTCACCATGGAGAAAGGCATTCTTTACATCAAACTGATGAAGTGGCCAATGTAGATTAGTTGCTAGAGAAAGAAGTACTCTAACTGAATTCATCTTAGCTACGGGTGCAAAGGTCTCCTGATAGTCAACGTCATATGTCTGAGTGAACCTTTTTGCCACAAGTCTAGCCTTGTAATGCTCAATAGAACCATCCACTTTGTGTTTCACAGTATACACCCATTTGCATCACACAAGTCATGCCCTTAGGTAACTCAGTCAGTTCCCAACTGCTATTCTTCCTAAGTGCTTTCATTTCCTTGATCATGGCAAGTTTCCACTCAAACAAGACTAGTTGCTAAAGGGTTCACTCAGACTTATGGCATTTACTACCAGGAAACCTTTGCACCAGTGGCCAAGATGAATTCCATCCGTGTTCTTCTTTCCTGTGCAGCAACTCTAGGATGGCCATTACAGTAGTTAGATGTGAAGAATGCATTTCTTCATGGGGATCTAGAAGAGGAAGTGTATATGGATGTTCTTCTAGGTTTTTCTTCTCCAGCCACTAAGGGGAAGGTTTGCCGGTTAAAGAAGGCTTTGTATGGGTTGAAACAATCTACTAGAGCTTGGTTCGATAGATTTCTTAAGGCGATTCTCAGATTTGGGTATAAGCAAAGCCATGCAGATCATACCTTGTTCATCAAACAGTGTGGGGATAAAATCACTATACTTATTGTTTATGTGGAATGATGAAGAAGAAATGTCCAAAGTCAAAGCTCAACTTTCCTGGGAATTTGAAGTTAAAGACCTCGGACCCTTACAGTACTTTTTTGGAATTGAGATTGCTAGATCAGATAGGGGCATCTTTATTTCTCAAAGGAAATACGTCTTGGACTTACTTGAGGAGGTAGGCATGTTAGGATGTAGGCCTGCTGATTCTCCTATTGAGGCTAATCACTAGCTCAGTAGTCATGACGGAGAACATGTGGACAAAAGGAGGTATGAAAGGCTTGTGGGGAGACTGATATACCTTTCTCATACCAGGGCGGATATTGCATATGTTGGCGTTGTTAGTCAATACATGCATGATCCTCGGATGGGGCATTTGGATGCAGTTCATCAAATCGTAAGGTATCTTAAATCAACGCCTGGAAAAGGCATTTTGTTCTCCAATCATGGTCATCTAAGGTTAAAGGTCTTCACCGATGCAGATTGGGCTGGTGCTATTGATGATAGGAGATCTACCACAGACTATTGTACATTTGTTGGAGGAAATTTGGTCACTTGGCGGAGTAAGAAGCAGTCCGTTGTTGCTAGATCAAGTGCGGAAGCGGAGTACCGAGCCATGGCTCATGGCATTTGTGAGTTGATGTGGCTGAAAGTTTTATTGGCTGACCTAGGATTGTTGAGTGGTCGTATGCGACTATATTGTGATAATAAGGCTACTATTAACATTGCTCATATCCGGTTCATCAGCAAGATAGAACTAAACACATCGAGATTGATCGACATTTTATCAAACAGAAAGTGAATAGTGGCATCATTTGTTTGTCTTTTGTCACTTCTACAAATCAGTTAGATGATGTGTTTACCGAAGGGTTAGGAAGTAAAGTGTTTCATCCTATTGTATACAAGTTGGGCATGAGGGATATCTATACACCAACTTGAGGGGAGTGTTAAGTTATGTACTTGAGGGTAATAGTGTCATTGTACTTATTCTCTTATTAATATAAATACATGTGTTCAGAGAGGTAAGAAACCTAATTAGGTTTTGTGCCTTCTCTCCCAGAAAATCTCTATTCTCTTCTCTCTCTCTCTCTCTCTCTCTCTCTCTCTTTCTCTCTCTCTCTCTCTCACAATTCTTGTGCTTCATTTTTAACTTTTTACTTTATATTGAGGTTATTATTGTCATTGCAACATTAATGTTTTAATAAAAATATGTGTTGGGTGAGGGTTTTTCATTATGACCCAAAAACCTATTCTCTACATTATCTGCTCTCCTCTTCTTTTCTCTACTCTCTTTCCTCAAGAACCCTAATCCTAATTCCTTTGAACTTTACACTCAAAATGTCTTCCTGCTCTTTATTTCTTAACAAAACACAAATTTGTATCAAGACGGGGAGGAAAATGCAAAAAGGATGAGTGAAGTAATGATAAACTGTGACTAAATAATTACCAGACCTGAAAGATTAAACAATAAAATTGGAATCTCACTGACGAAAAAGCTATATCACGCAAGAGGACTGCTTTTACCTAGTTTGAAAAATTAAGAATCCACTAAACCATGTGTATATTGAGTACAATTTTAATATGTATTTAAGCTATCTAAAATCGGCTTGACCCACCTGCTGTTGAAACCCATCTTAATGGCTTTCTTATGACTCCTGTGGTAATTGAATACTGGGTCCGTCCCTGGTTATAAGCATGGTTTTTCTGCACAATATTCTCTGTAAATATGGTTATTTTTCAGGATGCATAATAGTACTTCCCCTAATTGTTATCAAAAACACATTGACAGAACTTCCCCTCCAATTTAATAAGTAAAGTAGTTACATAAATAACACTCTTCCACTTCGTTGTCCTCATTTTAATATTATGAGTAGCCGATCCTTAAAAAAATAAATTAATTAAAATTTACCATGTGTGACCACTTCAATTAAAATTTAGTTTTCCAATATATATCATATAGCAAAACCTAACTTAATTTTAAATATTTCTGTAAGCTGCATGTGCAGGTTCATGCACACAAACCCCACCATTACAATAGTAATGTAGACTGATAATAACTACAGCAAAGTAAGGGTAGGCACAACAATTATATAGACTGGTATCAGGTTTCAGTCTATTCTAGCAGTACTAGATCAATCTAGAGGTTAGCTTTACAATAATGAATAACCACTATGAAATGAAAATCATAGAATCTACAAATTCAGTGCATGTATCTCCTAAGTGTTCGACATCACACCAGGTAGAATAAAAAGAGCTACTCTGTTGAAGTAGAATGAAATCATCAATTATTATTTAGGTCAGTAAGACACATATCAACACAGTTCAATTGAACTTGACATAGACCAAATGAAGATAAAACTAATTAACAAACCAACATGATGGAACTTCAATTAGGATTGTGGGCAGCTACACTTCTGATTTATAGATGGATTTTAATTTGAATTGATGTACACAGGAAAAGGTTATGAATAATGGGAAAAGCCAACAATAATTCCTAAACAATCAAGAAGCTCCAAGACTCCTCATTGGAGTTGTCATTTCAAGTACAGATCATGGAAGGGGCTTCACAATTAAAAAAGAAGAAGTAAGGACACTCATAATATCTAGCTTCTACACTTGTCAAGCGATCTGGCATTTCCGTTTCTATTGCATCTATTCTTCCTGAGGCATAAAATGCTCAAGATTGATGCAATAAAATGGTTTACAAAGATGTGGCCGGGAATGATGCAACAAAATCATTTTCTGAAAATGCTGAAAGTCTACACAGGCCACAGCTAAACAATCAAGTCAAACTCTAATTAACACATGCCCGTACTTTTTGAGTTTCATCAACTCACTCTTGATACCCCAATTGAGGTTTCCTGGAAAATCATTCACCACCATCCCTTTTCCTTAGGCTATGTTTGATTTATGGATTTGGGTAAGGATTTGGAAAAGATAGATAAAATGTGAATCAAATATAACTACATTTCACCTACGTTTCACACACATTTTATCTTTCCCTTTCTAAATCCCTCACCAAAATCCATGAACCAAACATAGCCTTAAAAGGAAAACAAAGTGCCTAAAGATTTCTTAGACCCAAACATCTGGATGAGCCAACAAGTATGATCTCCGAAGTGGATTTTGAGTTAGAAATTTTTTCAGTCATTCATTATCACCAAGACCAAGAGGTTTCTATCAGGCAGGTGTAACCATGGTTCTAAGTCCCATTTCAGGGGTAGATCTTAGTTATTCGACACAAGAAAAAATAGATTCTACTCAAAAGAGACATAAAAAAATAAAAATATACCATTAAGCCATAAAAAAAAAAAATAAAACTTCAAGTAGAATGTGGTAGTAAAATCAACAACTTCAATATCAATCACAATACCATTATGCCATAAAAATAAAAAATACAATAAGGCTGAGAAATGCTCAAATACTTTACAAACATACACAAGGATGTATAGAAGAGTATAGATTCTCAAACACATCACACATTGAACGTAATCGTATAGGTAGTACAAGCACAAGAATATTTAACATGGGTTCTGTGGCCAGTATGATATAACAGTGAACTACAATTCCATGTCACTGTATGAGTGTTATTCTTGAGTCATGAATATCGAAACAAAACAAAAAAATTCCATCAACTCTCTTATATCCCTCTAACTAACAATAAGGATCATTTTAGTTTCCATAAATTGACAATAAGAATTCAGATTTTGAAATAAACTATTAAGGTCTGAAAAAACATATTAACATTAATTTATAATGTAACACTACAAAATTAAATTTTTATCTCAGAAAATAAGTACAGAAAAAGAGCCCCGTGTACTGAACATGAATTTAACTGTAAATTGATAAATTTGTTTTACTTAAAAAAGTAATAAAATTGTTGAGTTCCAAATTTATTTCAGATGAAGGCCGACAAAACATTAATGTTTTGGCATCCTTTCAGCATTGCTTGTCAGCTTATGCCGAAATTATTTTCATTTTTTCATAAAACCTCCAAAGGCAATGATAGAGTATACATCGGGAGGTCAATCAACATGAATTTATGTTGGACACATGGTCGAAAAAGATAACTTCAGTATCCTCTCCACCATGGCACATTTTCTTTTTCAACTTGCATTTCAATTATCACAATAACTCCGCCAGGGTTGTTTAACAACCCCGCCGGTCCCAAGCCCGGGTAAATGAGGAGAGTTGTGTGTTAGGTAGCCAACAGCCAACACGTAAAAAAAGTCGCTCAGATCCCTTATGAAAATGAATCCCTACTTTGAATTGATTAAATGCTAGGTTGTTCCTCTTAAGTGACGCGTCGCGCCTGCCTCCGGGTGTTTCGAAAAGTGAGCAAGGGGCGCCGCATCAATGCCTGAGTGCGGTGAAAAATGGGCAAAGGTTTCCGCATTTTCCTGAATGAGCACGGATAAAGAAGTTAGTCCAAGACTATAGGTTTAGGATAGCCACATGGAATGTAGGAACTTTAATTAGTAAGACTATGGAATTGGTAGATGTCATGATTAGGAGGAGAGTCAGTATAATTTGCGTATAAGAAACTAAATGGATGGGTGAGAAATCCAGGGAAATAGAGGGTACCAGTTTTAAACTGTATTATAGTGGCAAGGATACATACTAGAATGGGGTAGGAATAATAGTTGCTAAGGGTCTTGTGAAAAATGTAGTGACAGTCATTAGAAAAGGTGATCGGATTATATTAGTTAAGCTAGTTATTGGAGAGAATATAGTGAACATTATTAGTGCATACTGTTAGAATAATATATTATTTTGTAATTATTCTATGCCTTAGGGCTCACCTTGTAATTATTAACTTCATTAATATAAATAGGGGATGATATCCTAATCATTCCCTAATCTTGGAATTCTCTAAAATAACATGGTATCAGAGCCTAACCCTAAAATCTAAATTCCTCACCCATACAGTACCCACCGGAGCCACCACACAATCGTCAATAGCCACCACAGAGCCAATCGTCACACCCTTTCTCGTCACAAAGCCAGTCGTCACAGAGCCAGTCTCGTCACTCGCCAACGACGCTAAGGCCAGGAGGCCTGATGGCAGTGGCCAACTGGGCTGAGAGAGCTCTAGACAGCCCCGACTGGGTGTGTCGTTCCATCAGTCCCTGTCAACTTGGAAGCTTTGGTTCTCTTTTCGTGATGATGTGTCACTGAGTTACCTTTGTTTGCCGTCTGTATTTCAACTAAACCTCTACTTCATTTTTCCCTTTAATCTAAAAAATAAATAAATAAATGCAGTAAAGGAAAAAAAAAAAAAAAAGGTTAATGAGTTTTTAAGTCCTTAATTTTCTTAGTGGTCATTGTGTTTGTATTTCTCCACCTTCCGGGTTTGTGATTAGCACTAGTTTTGTTGAGAGTTCGGTAATACAGTATCTATGGCAGATTCCACCGATGTGTCCACTACTTATCAGACACCTAGGAGTGAGTTTTCCTATACCTACCAAGGTTTTCAAAGGCGTACACGAGGCATGACTTGAGGCAAGGCGTACGGAAAACGCACAAATGCGTTCTTTTTTGGGCAAGACACCAGCTATGGTTACGTGTCAAACGCAGAGGCGTAAGCATCTGTCGCGCTTTATGCGCTTTTCACGCTTTCGACAGCGAGGCGCAAGCCTTTGCGGAGTTCGATTCAAAAATCAAAAAATGGAAACAATAGAGTATTTGATGGACACTTGCTATATAGGACTTTAATTGAAACAGAAATTGCTCAAGAAGAAGATATTTTGTTAGTCAATATTCTTCAAATCAGAGTCCCAACAAGTTCGAATCAGTCTTCTAATCTACTCCAACGAACTAGGGTTTTCCAGGTATGAAGTCACTCTCTCTTTCTCTCGAGTTGAGTCTAGTCTCTCTCTCTCTCTCTCTCTCTCTCTGTCTCATTATGTTTTCTGAATCGTCTCTCTCTCTCTCGTTTTTCTGCATCGTGTCTCTCTCTCTGTGTTCTCGTTGGTTCTTTCTCTGTTTGTCCACTCTGACTGTGATGTATATAACTTTTTTGTTTATGAACAAGGACTGATGTATATATCTATCTCTCTGTTTTTGTGCACACAAATATCTGTGTTGTACTTGTCTAACGTATTATTATTATTATAACTTAGCTTTACTTCTTTAATTTAATATTATTTTTATCTTTTATTTTTTTGACAGACTTTAATTTATTATTATTATTATTATTATTGTTAATATTCTATTCTTCTTTTTGCCATCCCATCCCACTTAACTAGTATCTTTTTTGTTTTGTTTTTTAATTTGTTTATTTTTATACAGTGCTACTGTTGATAAGTTTGTGGGGACAAAAAAAAAATGACTAAACCCAAAGGCCAAAGAAAAGATTTTGTCTAGAAGTACGTAAAAGAAGTTGATGGGGAAAAGTATTTTAGATGTAAATTTTGTGATCAAACTTGTAATGGTACTGTAAGTCGATTTAAAAATCATCTAGCTGGCACACATAAAGGTATTAAACTGTGTTAATGAGGATGGCTTAGAGTGACCTATTATTTATTTAGTGCTTTGTTTATAGGGTATTAGAGTTTAAGTTATTTTGTTTATTGAACAATTGGAATTTAAGTTATTTTGACCATCACTTCAAGTTATTTTTTTTATTATAGTATTCATTGAGAATGACTTAGAAAGCTCTTATAATACTTGAAATTATTAATTAATTTTGGTTTTATGCTTAGGATGGGCTTTTAAGAATTTTATTTGGTAATTCTTATTTTTTTTTTTTCTCTTTTTATGTTATATTTAATTAATTTTGTATTTTATAAAATAAAAAAAAAAATCAAAATTCAAAAGGCTTACACCTCAATGCCTCGAGGTATAAAGTCTCGCCTTAACAAGGGTAAAACACCTCGCCTGGCACTTTCGCCTTTAAAAACATTAATACCTACTACTATAACCGATAACCCCAACCCTAGTCTTAAAATCACTACTTCTCTATTTAATGGTCAGAACTATCTCACGTGGTCGCAGAGTTTGACTATGTTTTTGAAGAGCAGAGGGAAGATGGGGTATGTAAATGGCAAGATACAGGCACCCAACAAAACTGACCCAGGTTATGGCCAATGGGAGATTACCAACTCTTTAATTGTAGGTTGGCTTATTCATTCGATGGTACCAGGCATTGGCGAGGGCTACTCATCTATGGAGACTGCATAAGATGTTTGGGATGCTATAGCTACCACCTATTCCCGCAAAGGGAATTTCTCACAAGCATTTGAGTTACGCCGCTCTATTGAGAGCTCTGTTTAGAGGAAACAAACGGTTCTTCAGTACTTCACCTTCCCCACTAATGGCTGGAAACGCCTTGATCACCTACAGGACTATAAGCCTGTTTGCACTGCTGATTCAGTCAGGTACCGGAAGTTCATTGCACAAGAAAGGGTTTTCAAGTTTTTGGCCGATCTTAATATGAAATATGATCCAGTTCGAAGTCGGGTTCTGAGTATGGACATTTTTCCTTCACTTTAGGAGGCATTTGCCTATGTATATAATGAAGAGAGTCGCCGGTATGCTATGATGTTCCCTGTCTCTACCGACCACTCAGCATTACTGTCTACCTCTAGAGATGGCCTTAGCCTGACTCCCATCCCTCCGTCTACTGCCAAGGAGTCTGTCTTCTGTGATTACTGTAAGAAGCCGTGGCATACTTGTGAGACGTGTTGGAAGCTTCATGGGACTCCATCCGGGGGTTAAGGTGATCGATCTGGTTCTAGAGGAGGTCGGGCAAGCCAGTCTAGAGGACGTGGCTCCTATCCATGGGCTCATCAGTCTAGTGATGTTGATACACTTGATTCTACTTCTGCTTCCGTTGGCCAAGCTTCTGATGGTCTCTCTGGTATGACTACTCATGATCTTGAGGATGTTCTGCGTCACTTGCTGGACTGCCGGTCTTCTACTGTTCTCAATACATCTTCCTCATCGTTTGCCCGCTCAGGTAACTTAGTCTCTTCTCCTTGTGTTTTCCTATCTCATACGTCTCTTCCCTGGATTATTGATTCTGGTGCCTTAGAGCATATGTCTGGTTCCTCCAACCTTTTCTCTACTTATAAGTCATTTTCAAATCAGGACAAAATTAGGATTACAGATGGTACTGTTTCTTCTGTTTCTGAGGAAAGTTTAGTCCATGTCACTCCTACTTTACCTCTCTCTTCTGTTCTCCATGTTTCCAATTTTTCTGTTAACCTACTATCCTTAAGTCATATTACAAAGGATTTGAATTGTAATGTGACATTTTTTCCTAATCATTGTTTTTTTAAGGACCTCATCATGAGAAGGACGATTGGCAGTGGTAATGCAAAAAATGGTCTATACTTCCTAGGTCAACCGGATAAGCTTGCTCATTCTTCCACCACGAGTCCTACTATCACCGATGATATATGGCTATGGCATCGGCATCTTAGGCATCCTTCTTTTATTTACTTAACCACTTATTTCCATCTGTTTTTTCAAACAATAATGTGTGAATTTTTTTAAGTCTTGTCAACTTAGAAAACAACACATAGTTTCTTTGCTCCCAGTTTTAATAAAAGTTTAATTACTTTCTTATTAATACATTCTGATATCTAGGGTCCATCTCGTGTTGTGTCTGTGAAAGGTCATCGCTGGTTTGTTATATTTATTGATGATTTTTCCCATACTACTTGGGTGTACCTCATGAAAGACGAGTGAGGTTTTCTTTGTGTTCCGCAATTTTCATAGGATGATTTGTACTCAGTTTGGAGCCACTATCAAAATATTCCGTTATGATAATGGGGGTGAATACATAGATTCTAGGTTGGGGCAATATTTTTCTACTCATGGCATTATCCATCAAACCTCTTGCACCAATACCCCTCAACAAAATGGAGTGGCGGAATGCAAGAATCGCCATCTTCTTGACATGGCTCGGTGCATGTGTTTTTCCAGTAGTATGCCTCGGTCTTGCTGGGGCGACGCTGTTCTCACCGCTGCACATCTTATTAATCATCTTCCTACCCAGGTCTTGCAAAAACAAGCTCCTCTTCAAGTCCTCCTAAGTTCCCAGTCCTTAATTTCTATTCCTCCCAAAATATTTAGCTGTGTCTATTTTGTCCATAATCACTCTCCTACTCGTGGTAAGTTGGACCCTCGTTCCCTCAAATGTGTTTTCCTTGGGTACTCCCCTACTCAAAAAGGGTATAAGTGTTACCACCCTCCTTCTCGTAAGTGGTTTGTGTCCATGGATGTCAGATTCTTTGAGTCCCAGTCCTATTTCTTGTCCTCTCTGGTGTCCTAGTCCTCACTTCAGGGGGAGCCTTAGTGTGAAGTGATTCCTATGATTTCTACGGTGAAACCAGTTGTTCTTGCACCACCACCTCCTACTGGGACTACAGAATCCAATGTCACCAAGGATAGGAAGGGCAAGCTTATGTCAGGGACAAAGACAGACAGAAAATTAACTGGATACAAGAGACCACTTCTGCTCCTCTACTGCCATCTCCTACTTCTGATGAGAGTCCAGGTAACTTTGAATCGAGAGTCCATTGATCTTGATGTTCCTATTGCTAAGAGAAAGGGTGTGAGATCTTATGCTCAACATCCTATCTCAAATTTTGTATCCTACTCTCATTTGTCGTTCCCATATAGAGAGTTTGTGTCAAATATTTCCTCTATTAGCATTCCTAACCATTTTCAGGATGCTCTTGCTACCTCCGAGTGGAAACTTGCCATGATTGAGGAAATGAAAGCACTTAGAAAGAATGGCACTTGAGAATTGACTGAGTTACCTAAGAGCAAACGACCTGTGGAATGCAAATGGGTGTATACTGTGAAACACAAAGCGGATGATTCTATTAAGCGTTACAAGGCTAGATTTGTGGCAAAAAGGTTCACTCAGACCTATGGCGTTGACTATCAAGAGACTGTTGCACCCGTGGTTAAGATGAATTCAGTTAGAGTACTTCTCTCTCTAGCAGCTAATCTAGATTGGCTACTTCAACAGTTGGATGCAAAGAATGTCTTTCTCCATGATGACCTTGAAGAAGAGGTATATATAGACATTCCTCCTGGTTTTGAAGATCATCAGATAGAGGGCAAAGTATGCAGGATTCGGAAGTCATTATATGGTCTTAAACAGTCTCCAAGGGCTTGGTTTGAGAGATTCACTCGGGCTATACTTAAATATAGCTTCAAACAGAGTCAGGCAGATCACACCTTATTTGTGAAACATTCCTCACTTAGTAAGACTACAGCACTCATTGTTTATGTAGATGGCATAGTTCTTACGGGGCGATAATAGTGAGGAAATTCCTCTGTTGAAGAAATATTTAGCCAGTGAATTTGAAATCAAAGACTGAGGGAGCTTGAAATATTTTCTGGGAATTGAAATTGCTCGCTCCAAGATTGGAATATTTATCTCACAGAAGAAGTATGCGCTTGATCTGCTGAAGGAAACTAGAATGCTTGGTTGCAAGGCCTGTAACACTCCACTAGAACCCAATCAGAAACTGGGGGATGATGAAAGAGGAGCAGCTGTAGACAGGGGGATCTATCAGCGATTAGTGGGTAAACTCATTTACCTATCTCACTCCCGTCCTGATATTACTGTTGCAGTAAATGTGGTTAGCCAGTTTATGCATGCTCCTCATCAGATTCACTTCGAGGCTGTCATGAGAATTTTGAGGTACTTGAAGTCTGCTCCTGGTAAAGGTTTTTATTTTTCAAAGTATGATCATCTTCGTGTGGAAGCATATACAGATGCTGACTGGGCTGGATCAGCGACTGATAGGAGATCGACTTCAGGGTATTGCACCTTTGTTGGAGGCAACCTAGTTACTTAGAGGAGTAAGAAACAGAATGTGGTTGTTAGGTCAAATGCAGAAGCTGAGTTTAGAGCTATGGCACAAGGGGTGTGTGAGCTCTTATGGATCAAGTAATTGTTGAGTGATCTAGGCTGATCAGACGGACTCCATGCGGTTATACTGTGATAATAAGGCCGCTATCAACATCGCTAATAATCTAGTTCAACATGACAGGACAAAGCATGTTGAGATTGATCGCCACTTCATTAAGGAGAAACTCACTAGTGGCACAATATGTACTCCTTTTGTGCAATCTGGTGAACAACTTGCTGACATCCTCACCAAGGGAGTTAGGAGTAAGCCATTTCATGACAGCTTAGGCTGGGCATGAGAGATATCTTCGCACCAGCTTGAGGGAGAGTGTTAGAATAATATATTATTATTTTGGTTATTATTTTGTGATTATTCTATGTCTTAGGCTCACCTTGTAATTATTAACTTCATTAATATAAATAGGAGATGATATCCTAATCATTCCCTAATTTTGGAATTCTCTAAAATAACACGTACACCGCCCAAGTAAGATTGGATGATCAGACTAAGAGAGATTTTTAGAACTAAATGGATGAGAGATTACAGGAGATACCCGTAGGAGTAAACCTAGTTATTATAGGTGGTGATTTCAATAGCTATGTAGGAATAAATAAACTAGGTTATGAGGGGGTGCATGATCGGTATGGTTTTAGTGATAGAAATGAGGCTGGAGAAAGTGGCATGGAAAAAAAGGATTTATGTAACCGACTCCATTTGATGGGACTTAAGGTTTGGTTTGGTTTGGTTTGGTTTGGTTTGGTTTATTTCAATTATCACAATCTACCACTTTCTATAGGATCAGAACTCCATTAAATAGCAGCCAGTTAAATATGAGGCATCTTATTAAGATACATTACTATTGCCCACAGTTAAAAAGTCAATCAGTGCGTTTGGTTTGAGTTTTTTGAATTAAGTTTTTTAAAAATTAAGTTTTTTGGTTTTCGTATTTTTTTGTTTTTAGTGAATATTTTTAAAATTTTAAACATTTTTTTTTTTTATAATCAAGCATATGATTCACTATGCTTGGTTTGCCTTTTCAAAAAACACTTTTCAGAAAATTCTACTTTCTTATTTTCTGTGTTCTTTTGTTTTTACTGATTTTTTTTAATATTTTAAGCAATTTTTAAAATTTTTAGACATACCTAACTTAGATGTATCTAAAAAGTAAAAAATTTGTGAAAAAATATTTTAAAAAATTAATAAATATAAAAAAATATAAAAAATGTATTGAATTCTCGTATTTTTTGTATTTAGTGAATTTTTAAATTATTTTTTCACAATTTTTTTACTTTTTATGTATATTTATGTTAGATATGTCTAAAAATTAAAAAAAAAATTGTTTAAAATATTAAAAAAAATCAGTAAAAACAAAAGAACACAGAAAATAAGAAAGTAGAATTTTCTGAAAAGTGTTTTTTGAAAAGGCAAACCAAGCATAGTGAATCATATGCTTGATTATAATACCAAACTGCTAAAATGATGTTTTTCGACAAAATTATCACCGTGTTGCCTTTACACGTGAAATTTGATTCCTTGTTAAATCACAATTTACCTCCCTATGGTTCGGCAAAAAAAACAAGGTGCCTCCCCTAAAATTTGATCAGTGACAGCAAACCACCACGGGGTCAATACCAAAGTGAAAAAATGAATGTTTGTAATGGAAGTGCTAGAAAGGTCAAAATAAACCTAATTATTTCTCCTATTATGTTTCTCTCATCTCTTATCTCCCATTTCTCTATCTTTCTTCTCTCTCTTCCCACCACCCATTAAAACTAGGGGTGTTCATTGTTACAAATCAAACTTCAGGAGGGCTTTGTGTTTTTTGACCTAACCACAATGGGTAAAGTGTAATTTACTCTTTATCTTTACTAGCTAATGGGCTCCAAATGATGATGTGTAATTTGATGCACATAAAGGGAATGGCAACCGGCCCACTGCATAAATCCTGTTCAACCATTGTACACTACCTAGTTGCAATTTTCAGCCAGAATTAAAACGACCAAAGCCCACCCATTAATATCACCCATCACCACTAGTCATGACCACCCCAAAACCACCACCACACTCCATCACTACCTGACATATACACCCAAAACCACCATCACCACCAGCAATTGGGGAGGGTAGATGATCTGCAGCAGGGGTGGAAAAGAAGAGGGGTTGCAACGGCTGGATGGAGATGGAGAGAAGGAATAGTTTGAGAGAGGTGGGACCGATTGGGGGGGCAGGGGAGTAGGAGAAAGGTGGGGAAAATGGAAGGTTCATTTTTGCAGTTTGGTATTGATCTTAGGGGAGTTTAAAGTTACAAATCAAGTTTCCAAGGGGGTTCCTGGCCTAACTATGAAGGGTTGAATTGCAATTTACCCACACATCAAAGCCATGTGTGGTTAATTTTGACGGCAAACGTCATTTTTGCCATTTGGTATTAACCCCAAGGGGTGTTCATTGTACCAAATCGAACTTCAAGGGAACTCTCTGTTTTTTGACCTAACCACAGAGGGGTAGAGTGTAATTTACCCAAAGATAAATAATTCCATTTCATTATCACTGGTTTGATCCAATTCCAAATATTATGAAGAACCACCTGCTACCGTTAGAAAGTTTTACAAAAAATAGTACCTCCCCGTAGCTGCATAGCACCATTGCAAAGAGAGTTTCTTAGTGTTTCCTGATCTTGCATTAATTTTTCTAGCTCCTGCTTCCAACTCTCTTGTGTTTCTGAATTATATTCAAAGTCACGAATCTAAATCACAAGCAAAATCAAATATGCAATACATAAGAAGGCACCTGCTATTGAGATCGTTATATTTGACATATTATTCATGCACTTATCTCACCAGAGAATAGGAGCTAGAAATTCTTGAATTTCAACAAAACAGAAGCTAAAATTGTTATCATAACAGGCATCAAAAAACACAAGGGCTGCTTGAGTGACAAACTCACTTGAAAACCTCTGTCGCGTGCCTTGGTTCTAAAGTTGTCAGCATCACGACTGAACAGTGTTACAGTATAAAGAGCATATTCATTGTCCTCATGTAGCTTCGTGGAAGATCTGGGGACCTAAAACGATTGGTTCAATCAAAAAGTAGTTTTTTTTTTATATACATTCCATTACTTCAAACATTGATACAATACATGACCAAGAAAGATGGCACTTCTGAATCGTAAAATACGTAACAAGCACAAATCTCTAATCCTCGGTGAACTTGCCAATTACATCTGTGGTGTAGCAATTAAAGCTACCATGCAATTTCAAATTCAAATAATAAACTGACAGTCATGATTACAAAATAAGGTGACATCATAAACAGGAAAGGGATTTTTACCACATAAGCAGTTAGTGTCTTGTAGCTTGACAACCAATCTTTCTGTGAGTATTTAGGGACAATAGCAAGGAGGGTTGTCAAATGCTCTGTTATGATGATATCCTGAGGCTTCACTAAATTGGACAGATCACAGACAGCCAAGCTGGAATAAGAAAAAGTTCAAATCAACTACAAAATCTAGACAAAGTATGTATCATGATACAATTTGATGTGTCAACCAAAATGAGGTCCTAGTATCTTTAAAAGGTCTGTAAATCAACAATTTCCCCACCCACCGATCCTTCATTATTACACTAAAAACCCTACAACATCACCACAACCTATCCTTACCCCAGTCCTTTCCCCAGCAAGCAGTAGAACCCCAGATCTCCAAGAATTGTCAATGCTTGTCAAATGTCAACATAACATTAATGTAGTAGCCAATTCTATTTTCCACGGAAATATGCAGAAGAACAAATATATTAATTATTGCTATTCTAGTAACAACAATTTTTTTAAGAATTATTCCAGTAATTTCCATAATACTATGTCAAGGTAGAACCAAATTTAATCTCTCAGTTAGCCTTTATCACAAGTAATGTCTATAAAACCACCACCCACCCTACCCCTCCCATGAAAAAAATTCGAATTTTAAACAACAATTCTAAAGTAGAGCATAAATAATGGATAATCCTATTGTTCTACGTAAAAAATGGCAATGTGACCACCCTACCCCTACTCCCTCTCACATATGCCTTGTATGACCCTACCCCCTCCTCCGTCTCTGCCCACATGAGTCACTTCCTGGTTACTTCATATGCAATGATGCCCAAGCACTTCTGTCATTATCACAAGCAAATTAATTTTCTACGTTACATGGACTCTTCAAAATAAATCAAATACTCGTGCCAACATTTGGGCAAGGGTGTGCAATGTGTCCGATACGATCCATCAAACACTTATGATATATTTATATTTAACATTATTATTTTATATGTATATATTGTTGTATAATTGATATAAAATGAGTAAAATTCCCTTTTGATATTGTATGTTACCTATAACCCATTTTATCTCGCATAATAGATTCAAAATATGACCCCTTTTTTGCCAAGTCCGCATACCCATTTATTTGAGGTTGGATGGGTCAAACTACTAGATATGCATCTGCATCCAACACTCACACCCAAGTCCATGTAACATAGGTTATTTTATAAATAAATAGTCTATTGTACTATCTCTCACTATGCCACCCACTTGACCACATTCAAAACATAAATAAATTATAGAGAAAATTACAAAAACATGGAAAGTAAGACAAAAAATTGAAAAAATATAGAGGAATCAATTTACATTACAACACGTGGGAAGATCAAAAGTAATTACAAATACATGGAGTTTGAATTTTGAGAGACAAAAATGGCCCTCTCTTACCTCCTTATTTCCCTCTCTGCTCCTTTCTCTTTATTCCCTTCCATCACTGATCTCATTTCCCTCCCAGAAAAAAACCCCAACCACCTGGCCTATCCCCCCAATCCCGACATCCACATACGAACACCTTATGACTTTCCCACCTTCCCTACCACCACTACCTCTCTCTCCCTCTTCCTTTCTTCCTCGCTCTCCCTCCCTTCTATTTTCCCTTTAGTTGCCACCACCCACCGGCCACCACCGCCGCAATCCCCTCTCTTCCCTCCCTTGTTTCTCTCATATCCTCTGCAAAACCCTATCCACCATCACCATCCTCCCTCCTAATCCCATAATCCCAACCACAGGCACCTCACACACCACCTCCTGCCACCATCAGCACCTACCACCACAACCACTATTATTCCCTTCTCCACCCACACAACCCTCTCCACCTATAAAAAAAATAAAAATAAATAAATAAGCCCAAACCTCCCTCCACTACCACCGTTCATCACTCTAGTTGCGAATTGCAGCAATAGTGGCCAGAAATTGCGGCAATGGTGGTGCATCAACACAAAATAAGAGGTTGAATGAAGGGAGTTAAGATCTGACTAAATTCAATGACAAGGGTTGGGATCTAGCCATTCTATGCTTCCCTAATCCCTCTTTCATCGCAGGATTTGGCCGATCTCGAATGCCATCACATCATTATAAAGGGGCTAGGGTTTTGAAGATAACAGGAAAAAAGGGAAGGGGATTGTGATGGTCAGGGTTGTGATAGGTGGTGGCTAACGGTGATTGTGGTTGCAACAGAGAAGACTTTTACCCTTTCATCTTTCACAAATTGTACTTTTTTTTCTCCAAAATTTTCTCAAATTGCTTCTTGTAGTTGATGGAGGGCAGTGGTGGTGGTAGTTGTAGATGTTGGCATGAGCAGTGGGGTGCAGTTGGTGGTTACAAAAGGAGGGAAGAGAGAGAAATAGAAGATGAAATATAGGGTGCAAAATTATTCAAGAATCCATGTTTTTGTAATTATTTTGGGTCTTCCCATGGGTCTGTAATTTTTATTTCCTTTCCACTAATTTGTAACTATTTCTTCTACTTCCCATGTTTTTTGTAATTTTCCCTAATTATGTGCTCCATACAGCACATAGAACTTCATCAAAGACCCCAATCTTGGAAAGTTAAAATATCCAAGAAAATGTATCCATGGAAATTTTGACAGTGGGACATACATCTGTAGCTCGGCTTTTCCCGCTCCCTTTCGGAAGAATGAATAGCCCTTACAGTTCGCACTCCACTTATGTGTTGGTTCTGATTCTGATTTCACAAGTGCAATGTGAAACAGTGAAACAGTGAAACACAAAAAGAGTCCAAATCCGGCAATTTCTTTTGGAAAATCGATGTTTGAATCAAATGCCAAAAATGGACTGCTTTGTCAGATATCAGAGTCGCCACCTAAATATTTATTTTTGAAAAATTTAGGAAACCCATGAATCGTGCCAAAGGCCATTAGTCCGTCGTTACCAAGGTGTCTTGGTTCGGGAACTTAGGAATGAGAGGGAAAGGTCAATAATTGAACACCCCACTCACTCGATCAAAGATCGGCATCTACTTATCATGATGTAATTTTTATGTACAGTATATGTTCTTATTCTGATTATTTAATAAATCCTAAAATTTATTATATGAAGCATACAAGGTATAGACTAGTTTGCTCAAATTGGAACAATTCAATTTCATATTTGTTTCTCGAAAAGGGTTTGAATTTGCCATCTCAGGTGGGCTTAATTTGCCACTTAACAAAGTGGGCTTAAAGTTTGTGAATTTGCCACTACAAAGTGGGCTTAAAACGTACATTCGTTGAATCATTCCAATTCAAGCAACAAGCCTTCATCCACATGCATTCAAACAGTTTATCATTTAAGCAATTAGCCTCATGGTAGGATGCTAAACATAATAAGAAAATTATGTACAAGCGAGATGCTAAAGCATAACAACTCACATATTTACCGACGTCTCGCGAACAAGCTACAAAACAAAGTTAAAAAATATGCATGATTCCTAACTGTACAATATGACAAATGCAACACATGTGATATGCAATTACTAGGCTCGGCTACTAATATGGCATATGAAATGATTTGATCACATGCGGTCTAAGCATGTATTCAAAGAAGTATTTAAATGACAATGTGAATTAGAATGATGCGCCAGGCCTTGGTGCATGCAATACAAGTGGATGCAAACATGAGTATGCTAAATTAAACATGATGTCCCTAATCTAACCATCATAAGCTGGTAAATAAAAGGGAGAAAGACGTGGGGTTGGAAGACATACACATTATTACAAGTTTGTTTGCCCTCGCGTAGGAGGGTCCGAATGTCCAAGTGTCCAAACAAATAATTATTACAAAACCGAATGAATAATAAATGAAAGGGGCTGTCTAATTTATTACAATAATTGATGTAAGGCAAGCCTTGACACAATAAATTTGGTATAACGTCCGACCGAATTCAATTAATCATATTGGTTCTTTATGTCGGTTGTAATCCAATTTTAACCAATTTTATTAGCTTTTTTTATTACCTGTCCATTTCTTTATCTTTTCTACTGTTTATGCAAAAGTGATATTTACGTCCACTAAGTCCAAAACGCAATAAAGAGAAACAAGCATCAACTTAACTCGAGAAAATTTTCTTCGAGAGAAATTACAAAGGAAGAGTCAAACTTATTTACACGCGATAAGGGATTCCAAGTCAAACTCAAGATATGCAACAAGGACTAGTCAAACTCAAAAGAATGATAATGACGTAGAAAAACCCAAACTTGAGTGATAATGACTTGAAATCCAAACGTGATAATAAGTGATAATGACACTTTCCTTGGTGATTTCCAAGGATCAATTAGTCCCTTAAAAGTAAACACACTGATGAATAAAGAGAAACATTTGGGGTAGTGAACCTCCAAAGAATTTAAACCGTTAAGTATAGAACGTTTTATGCCAGAATGCGATATGAGAAATAAGGTGTAGCTCGGCTTTTCGCGCTCCCTTTCGGAAGAATGAATAGCCCTTACAGTTCGGACTCCACTTGTGTTGGTTCTAATTCTGATTTTACAAGTGCAATGTGAAACAGTGAAAACACAAAAGAGTCCAAATCTGGCAATTTCTTTTGAAAAATCGATGTTTGAATTAAATGCCGGATTAGTAAAGTTTTATCTTTGGGACTTTTATGTAGAGCATGAACATTTAAATTAGTTTGCATACATTTATAATGAACACGATAAATTAAAGCAATATTATGAGAAGAATCTAACATTTCAGTATATTCACCATGTAATTGTATGTTTAGTGTTAATGCCTTAAGAATATGTGGATCTCTTAAACTTAATGTAAAATCAGGAAAACAGTTAAAATGTACTGGACCTTTATTAAGACCAGTTTCCATCATGCCCATTAGACTAGCATTGTAATTAAGAAAACGAGCATCTCTTAAACAGAGTAAAACAGAAGTATTTTGGCCGATCATTGTTAATGGATTGACACCAATTTGAATTAAGCCAATATGCATAAAATTGTAACCACGATCTAAATGTCGTTTGATTAATTTTTTATCAAATAACTGACAAGTTTCTCTTGGTTTTTCTAAAGCATAAACTTGTTCAATAGTTTTAACATGAAGTGTAACTTTAAAAACATCCTGTATAAAAGAAGTTTTATAAATCTCTTTAATAGGTAGTTTTGGAATATTCCATCCAGAATTAATTTGATCATTTTGTATTTCAACATCTTCTTCATTAATTATGATGCCTGGATTAGGTAGGGAAGGCAAGGTAGTTGACCTAGAACTTACTGATGAGTTACTTCTAAATAATCGATTCATTGTTTTGTTGTAATTAACCAGTTTTACAGATATCTTAATACATACCCTATTCTTGTCAATTTTATCACATACCTAGTATACATACATACCCTATCTTTAAACCCCAAAGTCTGACTATGCCTAAACCGAAGGACTTACAGGAGACTGGGAAGAAGTGGGTGACTTAAACTAGGTGGATAAAACAGACTGATCTTGTGGGTGATTAAGATGAACTGAAAACAGGATTAATTAAACAAACAAGGAAGACGATTGACCAGAAGTAGCTAAACAGTTAGAAACAGGATACAACATCACTTGGCTCTGATACCAAGTGAATAATCAACTGATATCTTAAAATATATAAAAATATATAATTTATACCAAAATACTAAACATATAATATAATAATATAACTTTTTATTATTTTATTTTATATATTAATAAAATATATAATTTATACCAATTTATATAAAAAAACACCAAAAATATGAACACACGCATAAAATTATGCAAAATTAAAAAAATACTAAACTAATGAAATATTTAGTATTTTAAAACAATCTGGCTATAATTGTGAAGGTTAGGATTAAAGTTCAAATTTCATCTCTCCTACTGAGGATTCTGTGAGAAACACTTTCTAATTGTCATCATCGGGTAATTAAAAGAAAGCGCCCAAGTTTTAGGGCCGGTCAAAATGGGGTGTCTACAACCTCCCACTCTGCTTTCTGTTTATGGCATTAAGTTGACTACGCACATTGTTATACTCAGCAACACGAACCTATCATGGTAAACCAAAAACAATTAGCATGCTCAAGTGAGTATCGGCTATAGAAAATTGTGAATAAATAAACACTATGCCATTAAGTCAAGTAGAAGGGGGTAATAAGTGTACTTTGTTGCCGAGGTAACTACAGAAGTTTCTAAGCTAATGCAGAGGTTCCAAGTTCTTTTTCTTCCATATCTAAAAGCCGGGGAAAAAAATTTAAAAAAAAAAAAAAAAAAAGAGATCATCAAACATGCCTATTCGTCACTAATACTCACACAATTTAAATTATATAAAATCCAAAACTATCCAGTTGATAGTACAATCATGGACGAAATTAAAAATGTTGGATATAGTTGTTCCTATAACTTAACACAAATTCAAGAATATCAGAAATGCCATGGTTTCTAAATCACAATATCGCACCACAAAATCACAATATCGCACCACAAATTGATAAGCCACCAGCAGTATTTTGATTGACATTGAAGATAATACAACTCAATAATATCTCTAAAAGTACCTCTATCACAAAATGGAGCCAGTTAAACTAAATGCATAAATATACCATCGACTTAAGAATCTAGAACTTTATCATAAATTTGATTGAAATTTCTATGCCAACAATGGGAACTAGCATTATGTAAAATATTTTCTACATTTCAATCAAATTTATGATATTTTACATAATGCTAGTTCCCATTGTTGGCACATAAATTTCAATCAAATTTATGATAAAGTTCTAGATTCAATGGGATGATGAGACTCTAAAATTTGAAATCTTTACAAGTAAATGATACGCTGAGTCTACCAAGAAGACGACATGTTCAATCAAATGACAACACATGCAGAGCTTGCAATGGAAACAATGTAGGATACCACCTCTAAAAAGGATCAGTGTGATCAGTGAAATATATGATGAGGTGCAGTAATGTCAATGTTACTCAAGTTATTCAAGTGACATGTAGAGCCTACTAGACTTGAAGTATAGTACACTCAATCATAGAATAACACCTATAAAGCCTACAACAAGGAAGCTATGGAGAATGAAATCCAAAGGATCAATACAGTTAATCAAATATGATTACACCTAAATTCAAACGGTGTTATCATACAATTTGAAATTCAAAATGGAGATAAGATTCTCTTATCACATAAATGGTCCTCTATAACTATGAGGACCATCACACAAAATGAGGGATGAGAAATAAAAGATCGGGGATTAGGGAAAAAGAAATCAAAGATCGAAGAAATTTTCAAAAGCAAGAAGAGAGACAAAAAGAATTGAAAAGCTAATTGTGAAGGGCGACAAGCATCAGTATTCAAAACTCAATACACAAGCACATAGCACAATAGCAAGCAATAGGCAAGCTCAACAATTGTATCTTCCGTATTTAGAAGTTTTAAATCCCAAAAAAATCAATAAAATAATTATTTTTCTTTAATTTTCTTTTGTTAAATTTTTTGTTCTTCATTAATCGGAGATTTCATTTGTTTAAATTGTGTAATTAACAATATGGAGTAGAAATCGGAAATAAGAGCCTACTCTATTTAGTCTAAAAACCAAATGGTGGACATTTATAATATGAATTTCAAAATGTGTTGAACATTTCACATTTCAAAATTTTTGTCTTCACCCACATATAGGCCTAACGCACTTTCTGTAATGGGAACTAGCATTATCAATGAAAAAAGTTCTTTAGGCATTGCCCATATACATATACAAAACAAAAAAGAAAGAAAGAAAAACTCTATCATATACATCGTCTTAATTCACCGTAGCATCTGTAAGTTCCAAAAAGCTATCTGTATAGGGATCTACCCACATACCACCCATTTCTCTCCCTTCACAAGTACCACATCAAACAAGTGGCAGTGGTACTGCAGACCACACTTTCTTTCTCCATTAGCTCATCTTCCCTTACCGATCTAGGAACAAACCACACCACAATAATCATTGCCAAGACCAGGTTCCACATCTTCCCTAACACTCTACAATGAATAAGGAGGTTATCTACTATTTCATCCACCTCCCTACACATACAACACTTTATTAGGCAATACTTTCCTTTTCTTAGGGAGAATATCAATGGTAAAAATCACACAACTCTTTTCATTGTAAACTTCTCACTTGGAGCTCTGTGTTGCAATTGAAGGAGTTGATTGCCCTTGCACAAACTGCACAGAAATTGTAAGGTTGGCTAAGAATATGATTACAGGAAAGACACTGCAATATTTACTCTGTAAATTCGGTATTGCAGCTTCTGTTTACATGTTATGTGCAGAAAAAAATAATAGAGCATTCACTAATGAATATAGGGATGTACTGTCTGTGTTAGCTGACATAGAGAACCTGGTTCGTGGTAAGATTATAAGCCCAAAAGGCTTTACTATTACAGATCAAAACTGGTCCTTGCAGAGAGCTTGGCATTTACCAGGAAAAATCTTTGCAAAGAAATAGTGATACTGCAAAGAATGTAAAAACATATAATAACAAAAAATAAAAATAAAAATTGTGTGATGGGATTGAATAGTAGTTGTATGTGAGGATTGTGAATGCTATGATGGGTTGCCTAGGAAGGACAAATATTGATGTGAAATTTTCAAATGCAGCTGTAGCCACATCTGTTGCAACGATGAGGCTCCCTGCTACAATTATTGTCTATGCATTTTGCTGACCCACTGATGTTCAATGAAGCTGACTGGATGCCTTGACTAGTGATTGGAATTCTTTGGATACTGATTCAGGTACTGCAATTTTAGTCTGTTAGCTGCTAGAAGTTGTCTTGTGTTTGTAAAGTTTGTAAGTAGCATGTGATGTAAGGGTTGAGATTTGGCTCATTGTTCGTTGGCTGTTGTTTGTAGTTCCTATTGTACAGCTTTGTAGAGTGGATAGGCATGACTTAGGATCGTCTCTTGAATGTTCTGGGGTATATGGCCTGCCCCTTATGTAGTGTTTGGTTCCCTGGAATAATTTTGGACACGAATGGAATGGCTATTCCCTGGTTTCTCAATGGAATGACTGTTATCCTAAATTAGAGAAACGTGATTCCATTTGGAATGTATATTTCTTTCCTTTTTAAGTTTTTTAATGTATGTTTCTTTCCTTTTTAAGTTTAACCAAACCAAACACGGAATCGCTATGCTAGAATAACCATTCCATTCTAGTGAACCAAACATCGCATTCCTATCTTACTTATAGGGTAAAAATATCAGTGGTAACAATCTTCCAATGAGCCACCTAAAAAAATTGAGGGAAGATTAGCCTTCTATATGACTCCAAGGAAATAACTCACTGAAATTACTGACCAATTCCTTGCACAATGACTTCACTAGAAACCTCCCCTACTTGCAAGGCACCCAATTGATTCCCAAATATCAATCTCATCACCATATGCAGGTATTGTTTTATCTTTTTTGGCCCGTATGAGTACCGGTAATAGTTTTTTCTGCTTAAAATCGAAGTTGAAATTGATTTCTTCTTGAAAGTTGAACAGGTGATGATGATTTATAAAAAAGTTCATTCAATACTATTAGAAGCATCTCAATACATAATTCAAGTAATGATGAATATGTCGGTTCCAGACTGAAAATGTAGTATTCCACGCTTATATCCACAAATATACTGACAATATCGTATATTACTCAAATTAGGAGTCCCGGACAAGTCTTGAGATAATAGCTTGAAATGTCCAAACAAATGCCACTGTTTGATCATGTTAAAGGAATACAAAATTGAGGCAAAAGAGTTGCTCACTTAAAATCAGATAGAGTGCTCATCATTTGAGACTGAAATGGCATACCTTTAAGTTCATCTTCAATCTTGGCAACTTGAACATGAATTCCATCAACAATCTCCTTCAAAGGCGACATAGTTGGGTACCTTGCCTCATCCCACACAAATCTACCACAAATCCAAACATATTGTTAGTGAATATTGTGTATATATATTATATTCACTATATATATTAGAGCATCTCCAATGGGAGCTGCTATATCAGTTGCCAAAGCTAAAAAATGACAGGAATGGTGTATATATATTATATTCACTATATATATTAGATGTTGTAATTAGGCTTTACATATTTCCATAACTTTCACTCTTACCTTGCCTATATAGGCCTCTTCATTGTTTTGTACAATACACAATATTAAATGGACTTGGCTCCTCTCCACTGGAGAGGAGAGTTCGGCTTTGGTGGGCCATAATCCGCACTCATGTCAATAATCCAAACCATTTAATATGTAGGACCCGTTGAATACATTATTTCTGCAAAAAAATCATGTTAATTGAATATCAATAACTACTTCATCAGATCGCATTTTCAAATATAATTTTCGAAGTAAATTGCGACATAAATACGATTTGATTAAGTGGTTATCAATATCCAATCAATATAATTTTTTACGAAAATAATGTACTAAACAGTACTACATATGATTTGGATTATTGACTGGGCCCGAATTAAGGCCCACCAAACCGAACTTACTAGAGAGGAGCAAGGTCTATATTAAATATTCACATAATATAATATTCTCTTAAATTCTCTCTCTCTTAGGTCTCGTTTGGAAACATGCTATTTTAGTAACTTTTTGACTTTTTTGCTTTTTAGCTAAAATATGAGGTTCACCTTGCTTGGTTAGGTTTTTCAAAAAACACTTTTCAGAAAATTCTACTTTTTCGTTTTCCGTATTTTTTTGTTTTTACTAAATTTTTTAATATTTTAAGCAATTTTTTTTTACTTTTTAAACATATCTAACATAAATATACCTAAAAAGTAAAAAATTGTGGAAAAAACCTTTTAAAAATTCACTAAATACCAAAAATACAAAAAAAATACAAGAATTTAGTACATTTTTTTGTATTTTTATGTATTTATTAATTTTTTAAAATATTTTTTCACAAATTTTTTATTTTTTAAATACATGTAAGTAAGGTGCATCTAAAAAAGTAAAAAAATATATATTTAAAATTTTTAAAATATTAACTTAAAACAAAAAAAAACACGAAAACCAAAAAAAAACTCAGTTTTTAAAAAACTTAATCCAAAAACTTAAATCAAACACACTCATGTTTGGGATTGACTTTTTAATTTTTTACAAAATGATGTACAAAAAGTAAAGAGAAAGGGAAATCTTCTTTTTTTCTCTTTTACTTTTTGGTATACATTATTGGCTTTTTTATTTTTTATTTTTTATTTTTTGAGATTTTTTGACTTTTAACTAAAAAGTGATATTGCTAAATGATGGCTTATTGTAACACATACATATAATAAAAGTAAAACTAAAAATCAGTAGTCTTTAAATCTAATATTCAAATTATTCAATCTTGATCACTCAAATGGCATTACCTAGTCAGATATGAATCAACAGGAACACCATCAACCGTCAATGAACTACTGACGACGCCTGAAACCCTCTCCAACTCCTCGATCTGACGCCGAATCTTGTGAGACACTCCTTCGATGAACGAATTCGACTGAACAAAAAATCTCACTCATCAAATTACACAAAATCTCAATACTGGCTTAAAAATCACAATAAATGTGTATAAAAAATAATAATAATAAATCACCTTCAAGAGGTCATCGCTAAGAGCTAAAAGAGAATCTAATGTGCCAAACGAAGATTGGGAATATTGAACTGCAACAAAAATCACATGAAAATTCAAACACTATATATATATATAGAGAGAGAGAGAGAGATGTGTGTGTCTGTGTGTGTTGGTTGAGGAGAATACTCGGTAGATAGCGGTATCGCAGGCACGCTTGGAGATGGATTGTTGCAAGCGAGTCCAGAGAGAAGAAGCACAGTTTTGAACGGGGAGAGAAACCACCCAATACCTCGTCGCCATTGTCGTTGCTTCGTCCCCGGAGATTCGAATTTATGCTAAATTGTATACAGTAAAGGAGTGATGCGACTATTCGGCAGAGAATTGGCCAGCCAGTAATGCTCTTTTCTCTTTATTAGTTAAAAAGTCAAAAATTAGTAAAGGAGTGATGTGATTTTTTTTTAGTTAATTAGTCAAAAAGTTATTAAATTAGTTAAAAAATTAATAGTTTATATTGAAAAGTCAAAAAAAATTTTTTTTTTTTATTTTTTGCATATCTTTTTATAATTAGCTAAAAAGTCATACCAAACATACAAGTTTTTTTTACCTATTTTTTTAACCAAATAACTAAAAAATTACTAAATTAACTTATTCCCAAACTACGCCTGAGGATCGAGCAAAATTGCAAAACAATTGATTAGACAATCGAAAAAATGGCAAATTGATCTCATCCATATGTTGCATGATTCGGCATCTCCCACGCCGTACTAAAGTTATCATTTACTGGAAAAGTATTAGTTGCGTTTGGTAAAATTTTTTAATCATAATTTAAGAGGATGAGTTGTATTTTAAGTTTGTAAGTTTTGAAATTATGATTTGAATATAAAAAATTTGTTTGGTGAAAGGTTTTGAATTAAGTGAGGAATTTTTGATATGAGATTTGATATTTGATACAAAGCTTACAATTCATAACTAAATATACAACTCAAAATTCTATTAAAACACATAAAAAAAATTAAAAATTCGAAAAATAATTTTTTCGAATGTATAAAAATTAAAATATGTCAATTGAAAAAAAAATTGCACTGTTCTGGTCAACCGGCCGGACGACCGGTAGGACAACCGATTAGGCCAAATTTAAAAAAAAAAATTGAAAATCGCACCTCACAAATAGAGTTCTCTGCAGAGTTGTAGAAAATTAGTTCCAAAGCTCTATCCAAACATCATATTGGAACGTGAGGGTAGAATCAACATTTGGAAATCGTTCCAAACACAGCCATTCTTTTTTATACTCTCATCAAATCTATATCAAATTGAGAAAATAATAAATGTTTCACCAAACTGAGAATCTGGACACCTTTCACCAGAACACTGCATAAGATCATTGCGAATGAGATACAAGACAACTAGCCAAACATTTGGCCGGTTGTCCACACAGTCATCTTGTTACTTGAACAATTCCCAAAATAGAGCAATGGTTTGGACTGTCGATAGACTTCCAAAGTTGTTTGCTTCCGAAACAAATCTATCTCTGTCCTCTCCTCGTTCTTTGCATTCTCTCTCTTTCTCTCTCTGGTTTTGGACCCATTGCACTTCTTTTTATCACACTTCTCAACCGACCTCAAAACCATTGACAAATCAAACTTCCCAACCAACACAATTGCATTGCCTTTCTGCAACTATGCATACATAATCACTGCCAGTCCAAACACATGAAACATCGGCAAAACACACAAATACACATTGTGCATTTCGCCAACGAAGTCTTGATTCGCAGACACCATTAGAGCCGATGCAATGAAATTACGATTACTCAATATCACACCCTTACAAGTCCATGTTGTCTCTGATGAATACAACAAAGCAGCTGTATAATTTGATCTAATTAAAACCTCAGGCAAATTTGAAACTGGCCCAACACTCCTAATCAAATCAATAAAAGATGTAACTTTTGAATTTGAGTTCATAACAATTGAAGCAGATTTTTCAGAACCCAGAAAAATAGATAGTAAACCAAAGTCTATAACTTTTTCCCATAATTAAAAAACAGTGATGATAAGCTTTGGTTTGCAATCTTTGATTTGTTTCAAAAGCTTAGAGATTGGTTTTAACACACTGGATATTCCTTATTTGATCCATTATATTCTTGATCTATTATTGTAATATCATACAATATATGGAACATAGAGCAAAAATTTTATTTATTTTTTTTCATTTGCTCTTGTCGGACGACTGGCCAGTCGACCCCCCAGACGACCTTTGTTTTGATGACAGCTATAAATTCACCATTGGAGTGATTGATATCAAATAAAGGAATTCGTGCTTTTTTTACTCAGATTTGATGAAATATTTGGTGAACCGTTGGAGATGTCCTTAGACTCTCTCCTACCTTTTGTTTTATCAAATTTAAATGGGATAATTACTAAAAAGTTTAATTTAAATAAGGTATAAGATATTAGATGTAGTTTATATTTTTTATTGGTAAGAAGTCTATCTTTTGTGAAATAATTTGGTGGAAAATCCTTTTATTTGGGGAAATTCTATTTCCACACCTTCCATACTTTTAGTATACACTATTACTCTCTGTTTTTATATTACAATTTTGTGCCACGATAAAATTACCTTTTTGGACAAATTTCTAAACCCTTCTCTCAACACATATCATCATCATCACCAGCCTCCGCTACCCTCAGCTGCCGTCCTCAACCACCACCACTACAACTCCCTTTTCCCACTACCATCGCAGCCCAATCTCCACCGTCGGCCATCACCATTGCTAACAATCCCCACGGCCATAACCAATTGAGAGATCTGGAAAACACAGATCTAAGGTTTGAAGAAAAAGAAAAGAATAAGAGAGAAGGCTAGCTATGGCAGATGTGATGGTTGATGCGACCGACTTTTGACCTCTATCTATTGTCCCCGAGCAACCACGATGACGACTTCCCTCTCTGGCCACCGTCGCAGCCCCTATCGCAACCCTTAAATTCTGTTGCCCTATCACTCATCGCCTTTGCAACCACCACTATGCAACCCACACAGTCGTAACCTACCACCGTGCAATAAGAGAGACAGAGAAAGAGAGAGAGAGAGAGATCGAGATCTAATGTTAGGGTGTGAGAGGTAAAACGGGGTTGATGGCAGAGATGGAAAAGTAGGCGGTAACGAGAGAGTGAGAGAATGAAGAGTAGTGGAGGGACGACGGCTGGAGGCGAGAAGTTGTGACTACTGTAGCAGCAGTAGCTGCCGATGGTGCTAGTGATTATGTGAGGCCCCTGACTTTTTTTGTAAACCTTATTAGGTTCCTAAATTTTGAATTATTATAATAAAGCCCTTAGTTCGTCGATTAATCGCAAATTAAGCCTAGGATTGAAAACGCATCACGGGCGAATCCATACAAACCCTAATCGATCCTGGAAGCTTAGAAATCACTTCTAACACTCTAATATTAATTACTTAAGTGGGTGACGCAAATCTGGTGGGACCCGAACTTGTTCTAGAAACTACTGAGAAGGTCAAATTGATCCAGCAACGATTAAAGACTGCCCAAGACCGCCAAAAGAATTATGCAGACAGGAGGAGAAGACCATTGATGTTTGAGGTAGGCAGCCACGTGTTCCTAAAGGGAAAACTGTCACCACGATATATTGGGCCTTTTGAGGTATTGGAAAAAGTGGGCGAAGTAGCGTATAGACTAGCTCTACCCCCGCAGTTAGCAGGAATACACAATGTCTTCCATGTATCTATGTTGAAAAAATACATCGCTGACCCCTCACACGTCCTCAAGTGGGAAGAAATCAGTCTTGACAAAGATGTTACGTTTAAAGAAAGACCGGTAGCAATACAAGATCGTCGAGAAAAGAACCTTAGGGGTAAGACGGTTCACTTGGTGAAAGTGCTATGGCGTCACCGGGGAATTGAGGAATCTACTTCGGAGCGCTAGGATTGGGTGAAGGCAAATTACCTCGAGCTTTACGAAAGCAGTATGTAGCTGAATTTCGGGGACGAAATTGTTTTAAGGGGGATAGGTTGTAAGGCCCCTAAAATATGTATTTACTTTTAAGACCTTAATGATGAATTATTAAAGCCCTCGTTTACTTGAATTAATTCGAATCTTGTCGGCTAGCAATTGCTATTTTTTTTTTTATCGAAACAGAAATTTCTCTAACCAGATTAGTTTCCCTAACTTAATTTAATTCTACCTAGGTTACATGTAATTAACTTCAAGCCCTCACTCTTTATTTAAATTTTAAACTTACCCCAAATTAGTACTTGTACCTTGTACCTTGGTATACCATCAATCTTCCAATATATATATATATATATATATGTATACACCTTGAGGGATGTGCCCTTGTACCTAAAATTAATAAAAAATAACCCCATCATCCTAGGGAGAAGAGAGGAGCCAATTTTCAATATATATCATCATGATATTCTAGGAAACCCAAACCTAGTACCCTAGACCTAGGTTGTTAATTCCAAAACTAGTTCCTTTCTAACTAGTGTTGCCTAAATCATTGACCAAGCCTCCCAAATCCCTTCTATTTCCTTAGAATCCAAACAAATCCTAACCTTTCCATCCATTTCCAACTAATGGGCTTTTAGGACATTTTACATCAAAAATTGCCTATATATACCACACCCTCCCTAGCTTGCAAACATACACACAACACACTCACTCACACACACATTTTGGTTAGAAAGAGGGGGGAGAGCAAGGAAGAGAAGTCTAGAGAAGAAGATGGAGGAAGAAAAGAGTTTCTTGTGCAAAGTTGGAAGGTAAGCCACCAACACAACCCTCTCTTCATTTCCTTTTCTAATGCATGTTTTTAGAGATTCTAGATAAAGTTTCAGATCTATTATTATCAAGTTCCCATGTTGAAAATACTAAGATTTGAGTATTGTTTCCATCTCTCATGTATTTT